CTAGTATTTACTTTATAGTAACAAATCAAAATTTGTATATGATGCATGTTTTAAAGATGACGATCAGTTAATTCGCAATTAGTATGTACCGGTGTTGTATTTATACGATAAATACTTACTTTAAAAATTTTAAATTCCGCTGCGTACAGCCCGTACGGTACTATCGAACCCAACAAAGGCAGCCCGAAACAACACATAGCTCACTTCATTGAACTTGTTGCGATGTTGTGGAGATCGTCTGGTGAATCAGTTTGTTCCATCATTGAAGGGAAATACATTTGTGTGGTACGTCGACTTGGAAGCAAATTCTATTAGTAGTTGAGAGCAACTAGAGTAAGGGTTTCTTAATCGTTTCTATAGCACACAAAGGACGGTCAGCATGATTGAGCTCACTCATACAAACGGTGGGATGAAGAGTTTGTCTCAATTGCAATGATCTATTGTCTAAAGCTTCAAATATTGAAATATGTACTCAAGGGATGCATTAGGGCCTCTGATACATTTTGCAAGGAATTCATCCAAATTCGTTTGAAGAGTTGGTCACTCGTGCACATGATATGAACTTAAGCATGTCTGCAAGTGGGGTCAAGAATCCACCTGTCTGCGACCATGAGCCTCAAAGATTCAAAGAAGGAAATGAAGCTAAGAAATGAGGCAAGTTCTCCTCCAGAGCACCTAACAAAGAGGTAAAGGAAACAATGACGGTTAATGCAAGACTCATCAAACTCAATGGAAACACAAGTGGAAAATATTATGGAGAAAAAAGTACCTCAAGACAGAGGGTAAAGAAAATTAACCTTGATGGAGATGCAAGTCAAACAATATTCTTTCTTTAACTCTAATATTTCTGGAATCGTCATTCACGCCAAAAATGTTGTATAAGGAAGTGTTCAATAATTTATGATTTTCAATTAAATAATCTTTTCATAGCCATGATGAGTATTTTATTAGAGGAATTATATCAAATATACTTTTTAATAATATAATTTTTATAATTGCTAAAATGAGTTGTTAAATTACAAGTGATTATGTTTTTACTAAAGTTTTTTAAAAAAAAAGTTTAAAGGAAAAAACTTTTGCATGACATGTTGCCTTCTCGTATTAAGTATAGTGAAGTTGAGTTAAAATTAAATTAGATTTAAATTAATTTTTTTAAGATAATTTATAAACAAGCTAAAAGCTCTTGCATCCTTCCTCGGCCCTTCAATTCTCTCATCGGTGAACAGCGTTTGGACGATAACTTCGGCGATAGTATAGACGTCGACAAGCTGAATGAATTACAATAATTGAAGGTCTCTTTTATTTTTACCACTTTATTAAAAAAATCTTTTTATCCCTCAATTGCTTCTGTCGCGGACTTCGATTTGAACTTGGGTGGACAAAGATGAAGATCAGTGTAATGACCGTCGATGAACAAATCGTCACGCTGGATGTCGATCCGCACGAATCGGTAATCTACTTTATTTGATACCCTTTAAACCCAAACCCCTATTGTTTGCTCCCCCTTCTTCTCGGGCATTGAATTCTCGAAAGATTGCATTTTTATGTTCTCTTACTGATTAGTAACGTCATTGTATTTTGCATCGGAAACAGGTTGAGAACCTGAAAGCTCTGCTGGAGGTTGAGGTTAGATGAAACCCTTCTTCTAGTTTGCTGTTTTTGTGAATTTTTATCCCCCTTTTGTTACCTTTTTGAAGTTGTTCTTTTTACTTCTTAAGTTGTTTATCAATTGAATTGAATTGAATATGAATGAACAGACACAGGTGCCTCTGCAACAGCAGCAGCTGCTATATAATGGAAAGGAGATTAGGAATTCTGAGAAATTGAGTGCCGTTGGAGTTGCTGATGGAGATTTGGTTATGATGGTTCCAAAGAACTCATCTTCAAGTTCCAGGTATCAAATGATAACCAATCTGCAGCCGCACATCAATCTCTTGAGTTTATCAGTTGTGTTAGTTGTGTTTGAGGCTCTGACAATGTTTCTTTTTAAAGATAAAAGATCTACCATTTTTAAGTAGTTGTTTAGAAGATGTAGACCATGGTAATATGATGAGTGCTGTAGTGTCATCGCCATTAATTTGCTTCCTTTCTGGTTAAACTCCGTGGAAGTTTGTTCTTTGCTCATTGGGTGAGTTCTTGTATATGATCTGTTGTAGAGGTGGAGGCCATGATTTGAGTTTCAATCCTGATGGTTCAGCTGTAAATCCCTCAGCTTTCCAGAAACATTTGCGTGGTGATACTAATTTGATGACCCAACTATTTCAGGTATTAACGTTTCCCCACCAATATTATGCTGGGTTTTTTCTAGTTAAATTGAAAAGTTAGTTGATGAGCATGTCTGCTATTGTTATCCTAGTTATCAAAGATAAAAACTTGTGAGTAAAATACTGATTGCTAAGTCATGTATTGGCATGATTAACAAGTGATAGGAGAATAGGAAAGAGGTAGTTTGAAGTACTAAGTTGCAAGAATGTGCTCGATAATGGTACAGAGCTCTTTTTTCCAGGACTTCAGGACAATGTGCTTATGCTCTTTAGAACTACAATTATTACTTGTAATATCTCTTCTCCTGTCCGGGTTAGGATGAATATATCACCACAATATAAACCTGTGGCAGCATGTATGTACGGGTGCAAATAGTGTATAGTTGGAAAAACTGATAAAAAAATCTTTGCAATTTCTGTTCATTTGGTCTTGATTAGGCTTCTGGCCAACAGAATGGTTTGATGATTCCATCCCGTTTCGTTATAATCGTGTTTCCCACTCAAACTTGTGGTTTCTTTTTTTTTTTTACTTTATAGTGTTTAACATGGAAAACTTTTTTTTTTTTTTCTCAAAACAAATTCCTTTCTTTCTGTCCAACTTTTGGATTCCCTGCTGCTATCTGCATGCTTTGTATCTATTGTTATTGGTAACTTAACTTAAACGGACAGGACATGTTGGTTTAGACAGAGAAGCTGGTAATAGGATGAAAATAACCAAAGGCACGGTTATAATTCTCTGTCACCTCCTCTAATTTCAAATCTGCTACATATCACATTAAACTGTTAGTTTTCTTGTGGTGATAATGCTTGGAAATGACTTATTGTGGTAACTCATTGAATATTCAAGTCATTCATACTTCCAACTTTACGATTCTTATGTTTCTATGTATTTGCTTTAGAGTAAAGGTTATTTTTTCCAGTGAAATGTTTTTATTGATTCTTCACGTACTATGTAAACTCAGAGTGACCCTGAGTTAGCACAAGTTGTTCTTGGAAATGATCTCAACCGGCTTCAAGATTTTTTGCGCGCACGTAACCGGCAGAGGTCGGAATTAATGCGTAAACAAGAAGAGGAAATGGTTAGTGCATGTTTTGCTATTCTTTATCATTTGGGACTGAATCTTTTGATATATATAATAAGCCCATATGTTCTGTGGATGTGCCAAATTGAATTACTTCCATTAGACCTGTTCTGTAACCGAAAGTTGGACACTTGGTACTTTTGTTTGGTTTTTCAAATTATGAAAATACATGTAAGAGGGTATCTAAAATTAAACAATTTAAATGATGTACAGCATTGGTTATCTGTATGAGGTGTATGCTTTGAAGAAATTTGTTTTTGCTGCTTGCTTAAAACCTTTATCTATAACTTATAATTTTTAGTTATTTTAATTATTGCACACCATATATGATCTTATATTATATCTCAAGGTGTCAACTTGCACTTCAAAGGATCCCATCTGAAAGTATAGCCTAATTGTTTTATGAGATCCAGTTCTCATTTATCTATCCGAGATTCTTGTATGATATGAATTTATTATTGCATAGGCTTTACTTTACGCGGATCCTTTTGATGTGGAGGCGCAAAGGAAAATTGAAGCTGCTATTCGCCAGGTTGGACTTCCCTTATTTATATTCTAGGTGACCTATAACGGGTAAATTGTGTGGGTTATAACTTCCTTATCATTTGTACCATGGGCTCGTTGATTGATCCAACCTTTCAAATATATGCTTGTGGTTTTCCACTTAATAAAACCATATATACTCCATACCTAGAATTTCTGGCTTATGAACGTTATTTTTCTGTGAATGCTGAGATAATATTTTATGGCTGATATTCTACGAGTTTCTAATTATCATCTTGCTATTATATCTTTGAGTATGTTGCTTGTTTAATACATTGATGCAACCTTTTATTTTGGATCATAATAAAAAGAAAGAAAAGATGGACAACTGGCTGCAGATGGTATCTCTGTTTTGATGATATTCGTGATATTATACTAAATTAACTTTGCCTTTAGTTTTATACAGCTCAGGTTCTTTTATTTCCCTGATTTTGTATGAATTCAAAACTTGCAGGCTGTTTTAAGTTTTTACTCAATGCCAAATCATTTCTGGTTCTAACTCGTAAAACTTTTGTTTCTTTTTTAGACTTTTTTTTTTTGGGAAATATCATACATATATTTTGGTCTAACAGATTGTTTTCGTTATTATCAGAAAGGTATAGATGAGAACTGGGCTGCTGCTTTGGAACACAATCCTGAAGCATTTGCTAGAGTGGTATTTGTTGTTGCTAGCTTGACTGTGTTACACTACATGTTTAAATCTTATGACTAAAATAAACCTTCACATTTCCTTTTTCCAGGTAATGTTGTATGTAGACATGGAAGTGAATGGTGTTCCATTGAAGGTACTGACTTTGTAAAGTTATGAGATCTAATTTTGCTTAATTTCACTTTTATAAACTTCCCCTCAACTACTCAAAAGTAGGGAGAGAAAACTAAAGAATATAGGAGCTTCTTTTATATGTCTAGGCCTATAAACATTGTGACTTTTCTTTGTAAGGGTATGCATTACTGAACCAGCCTAAGTAAAATAGGAAAAAAAAAAAAATACCATTTTTTACATGAATATTAAGATTGATAGTCCTCAGCATACTTTCCGATGAATTCCTCAGTTTCCACTTGGATAGAAAACCTATAATCTATTATAAACCATCCATTTTGTCTTTCTTTCAGGCTTTCGTTGACAGTGGAGCTCAGTCAACAATTATATCTAAAAGCTGTGCTGAACGTTGTGGGTAGGATGATATTTCTTGCTTTCTCTGTCATAATATATTCTGTTAGGCTGTATTTTTTTCGGTAAGTATAGATGGTAACGAATATTTTACTCTTCTTTTAGACTGCTTCGGCTTTTGGATACTCGGTATAGGGGAATAGCTCATGGAGTTGGTCAATCCGAGATTTTAGGCCGGATACATGTTGCGCCTATCAAGGTATTCCCAGTATGCATGGCTTGTTATATTTCTTGAATAAAAAAAATAAATTAAAATACACCATTATTTTAAATTTTTCACATATTTACTTGTATTGTGTTGTAGATTGGAAATATATTCTATCCTTGCTCTTTTGTGGTCTTGGATGCACCCAACATGGAGTTTCTCTTTGGTTTGGATATGCTTCGCAAGCACCAAGTAATATTGTATTTTGTTTAATTGCGTTCCTTCTATCTATTTTATCCAAGTTTTTACATGGATTTACTTGGAATTATCATGGTTTTGCAGTGCATTATTGACCTGAAGGATAATGTGTTGAGAGTTGGTGGAGGCGAGGTTGCAGTACCTTTTCTACAAGGTACTTATTTGCCATTTTTTTTTTATCCATTTATTTGTAACGGTAATGTTTGTTTAATTATTAAGTTGCTATTATTATGCGTGAATCGTGTATCGTTCTTAAAAATCTGTAAAACTTCAGAGAAGGACATTCCATCACAGTTTATGGATGAAGAGAGGCATGCCAAGGAAGCTACCAGCTCTGGAGCACTAGTAAGGATGCCTGTGATTTTTGCCGTTTAATAGCTCGTTTAATCAAAACCCTAATTAGTCCTAAGGAGTGTTTTTTTTTTTTTTTTTTTTTTTTTTTTTTTTTTTTTTTTTTTTTCTTTCACTATAATTGGTTCTTTAGTTATGCTGAAAAATTATGATTCTTACATTTTCCTAGCGTTCTGATAAAATTTCCTCTGATTTTCAGGCAGCATCTGCAACTAAAGAGAACACTAGTGCACCAGGTGGACCTTCTGGTTAGTTTCGTAATTTTCCGAAGAATATTTTTTAGCTGTGAATCTGTATGATGACTTTATGTCAGCTTGTCTGACTCCTTTATTGACCTTTCTTGTGGTCATATACTGAATCCAAATGCCTGCAGCTTCATTTATTCATCTATGTAAAATCAACTTTCATTTAGGAGCTCTCCTGTAATTGTCCTTGTTAAGTATTACATTTTTATCTATTTGTAAAAGTAAAGACTTAAAAAATATTTTTTTTCTTATGCCATTTCGAATACAGGAAGTGCTGGCAAGAACAATTTGCAGGTACGCTCCACTGTAATGTGGAATTTTTTTGTACTTAGAATTATTCTGCGCCTTTGTAGTTATGACTGTGTAATTTGATCTGACATATGTTAACAGGGACCAGAGTTTGAAGCTAAAGTTGCTAAGCTAGTAGAGCTAGGGTTCGGGAGGGAAGCAGTAATTCAAGCTCTGAAGCTTTTTGATGGCAATGAAGAACAAGCTGCCGGATTTCTTTTTGGAGGCTGAAAGCCATCCAAGTAGAAGATATCTATTTATTTTATTTGATTTTTTTTTCTTTCTTATGGAATTTGTGTAACACTAAATCACTCGTTCGATTAATCAAGAACTGTGGGAACAATTCTTTGAATGGTGTGAGTTGGACCTACTGTTGTTGATTTATAGAAAATCGGATGCGGGGAAATTTGATGTTATGATTCGAAACAGAATTATGTTATCTTCATGGTGAATGCGTACCTTGAGGCTTAATTTAGGTTTGTGTTTGATGAAGTTATTTATAATGCACTTTATTTTCTTAAAAAATTACATTTAAAACTAAATAATAATAACAAAAATTGTTTGACCTGTTTTCAATAGCTCGACCTGTTTTCGATAGCCCTTTTAACATTTAAGCCTAAATTTGTAAGTCTTGCTTGGGTAGCAATTGAAGTTCTCATCTCCCCCAAATCCACGCTTGGTATTATAGCCTGGATAGTGATGAAGCTTAAAATCGACAGCTTCTACAAGCATTAGCCCATGAGAAGAAGCCATCGACTCCAACTTCCATTCTGCATGAACACCATTTGTCTTGTGAGATATGTGAATTTCCCCTTTTTCACTCAACATTTCTTTTGCATTCTTCAGAAACAAGCTCACAAGTCTTCTGTGACGTCTGCTCGGTTAAAAACAAGCAAATTAACCAGAAGTTACAAAAAATGCCGGATTTACTGTTTAACTATTCCAGGTGTTGAAGAAGATTAGCAAAATAGCAAATTAAGAGACCTTAGTTGAGAATCAAGTGGCATGCTGCCAAAGAATCCAGCAAAAGGGAAATTGAATATTATGCGGTCGAATTTAATTGCTCCCAAGAACTCGTGGTTTGCGATTAAGGTAGCGTCAATCTCATGCATGACTTTGCACTTCCTGATGCCTAGTTCGACTATGTTGCGCAAAGCGCATTCGTAATTCTTCACCAAGAATTCTGATAAAAATAAAAACACAGCCAACAATCAATTGTGAAGCCATAAATTGAATTCAAATTCCTCTTTAACTAATCTTGAACCTTCTTCATAGGCGCAAACCGTAAAATCGATAATTGGATGAATCGAAACTAAGACAATTTTTCATTCGAAGAAAAAATTCACATTCTCAGAGCTTCTAAGAACACCATTTTAATCATAAAAAAAAAAAAAAAAGGAAATTGTTAGTTAGTACCTTCAGAATTGAGGGAAGTTGCGATGATGTTGGGAGCCAAACCAAAGGACCTTGCCAAACACGTGGAGAATGAGAAATCACCCTCTCCAACAAGAAGCATCTGCTGCCCGTTACTATAATGTCTAAACCGCCTTATTATCCCTTTATTATGATTATTATTATTATTATTATTACTACCATTTTCTGGGCTTTTCACCATTTTATTATTGTTACTATTACTGTTACCATCATCGTCGCGAATAGTCGTCTTCAAAGGCTCTGCACAGTTAATCTTATTATCATCTGTGATGTCACTGCCCAAATAATATCGGATCACACTCACCAGTATTCCCATTTTCTCAATCGCTACTCTAATTTGAAGCTAACGCACATATATACACACCTGCAAGAA